ACGGGGAAGGCAGGATCGAATGAAACCCACGGGAAGGTGTTCAGTCAGTGGGAGGGAGCTGAAGGCAGTTCCGGTGTGGTCGATGAGAATGTGGAAGGAAGATGTGGGATGGCAGAAGTTGGCAGAGGCAGGAGGTGGAAAGTGTCTGGGAAAAGGCACAGGTGTGGTCATTGAGGAGGTAGATGGGGCCAGAAAGGAACCCACTGTGCTACCGGATAGGTTTCCCATTTGCATCTCATCTAAGTGCTACTGCGGTGCTGCCCCCTAGGTTAGCCCTCCTCTTGACAAAGAAATGGAAGAAAGCAGAAATTAACATGACAGGGGGCCAATCAGACCAATGTTAAACTCAGTTCTGGCCAAAGTAGAGCATGTGGTGCTCCAAAAATGTTGCCGCCTTCTCCCTTCATCTGTTTGTTTGTCTGTTTGTTTTACTGGTGCATAAAGTGGTAGCAACATAGTATCTGTGCAGACAGCCTGCCAGGTGTCTGCAGCTGATTTAACTCTGCAAGAAGCTGCCCAGAGCCAAGCCTCTCCACAGAGCATGGGTACCGCCGACGTGAAAAGCCAGGATGCTTTGACAGCGCACCCAACCACAGCAGCGTCAGAAAATCAGCAAAGCAAACAGCGCTTGACATTTTCCGAGTTCCTTAAGCAAAGTTGGCAGCCTTCTTGAGTCTGCAAATATGTTCTCTGTTGTGCGCTCTTTTCGCTTTATTTTAGCTCGCTAGGCAATATTGTCTCTTGTGACTACCGTTTTTTACCGTCTTCGTAAAGGGACGCAGCAGACAAACTCTGATCTCCTCGAGTTTAGATGCATCCCATTGGCTTTGTGTGCCTCACTTCAGCCTGTACAATGATGGGTTTGTGGGTGCTTATCACTCAAGTGAAGATAGAACAGATCACACCACAGAGGACTCTTGTGAGGACGAAACACCGAGTGTATTGACTGAAGGTAGGAAAGACCGGCATAGAGGCTCAGAAACTCAAGTTGGTTTCAAAACCCCAAAGAAGGTTCAGACCTTTAGTTAGGTGTAGTTTGTTTGTTTGACTTCTTATTGTGATCCAAGGGAAAGCTTAAGGAACACGTTGGCTTCCCATTCAATAATTCACAGTTTTGTATCCTGACACTGATCATTAGCCCCACAATGCAAACCCGCTTCTTCCCTGTGCTTGTGTTCTCATCGCCACTCTTTCCTGCCCTTCCCTGCCATCTCAGCTTTATCCCTGGGCAAACGCTGCCCTTTTGATCTCACATGACTGGTTTTTCTCACAAGTGTCTACCTCCCAGTGTTACAATTCACTTCATCCATCTGTTCGTTATTTGGCCAAAGTCACAGGGGTGGCCAGAGCCCTAAGAGCTCCGCCACTCACTATCAGACCACTCTCAGACCTGGTCTTTGCTTTAAATATTGGGTTTGGGTCCACATTTTTCTCACTCTATCCAGGCCCTTCTATTCAGAGCAGTTGGCTGGCGTAGCCTGGCACCATCTAGTTCTTCTGGTCTTGAGGGCATAGAGGCTGTGGCTCACATGGCCCACTTGTCCTTTAGACTAATTATTTCCATGCATCTTTGTTTTGTTTTTAATTTTCACTCTTCTTTGCTTCCAATGATGAACTCCTGTTGTTGTTACATCTTGACTTTGTCCTTATCAGTTGGAAAAAAGTACTCTCAAGAGTGGTGGTTGTTTGTGTGGAATTCGCTTAATAAAGATGTTTTTCAAGCCTTGTCTTCTTACCAGTTCTTTCAAATGAATACCTTCTTAGCATATTTTTAATATGAAACTTAATAGTCTGGATCAGAAATATGTTGGCAAGATATCTGGATATGTCCCCACAGCTAACAATGACTTTATATTGATGTAGAACCATTAGTGAGCTTTCTGCATTATAAATGTGAAATCGCTGATCCTCAACACACTGAGTCCTTCCGGTGTTTCTGACTTCATCAAGCCAATGGAGTGTAGGGCTGAGAACAATGACTTCTATTAATGTTAATCTCTTTTTACCATGATATCCTTAGGGTGAGAATATTATAGTTCAGGTAGCTGGAACAGAATTTTCCTGTATGGTAAGTGCAGTCAGATTAACTTGGAAAGTGGAAATAGGGTCAGATTTTTCTATCAGCTTTACCAGATCCCGAAGAAGTGCAAAGAAGTGAATAGGAAACGTTAAACTCCAAGCAACCAGATGTAAATGCCCATTATTTGACTAAAAGTTGAGACACAGGAGTGGCTGACAGGGAAAATGTCACCATCTCCTCACCCTTTCAAAACTTAGGGCCATAGTCCCGGGAGCTCCACCAGTCTCTATCATCAGACCAGTCAGCCTAACAAAGATCCCTTCAGCATGTCCATCTGCCAACACGAACATTTCTTTTCCCTCCAAAATGCCATTCCAGTGAGCTGAAAGTTAAGGAAATTCACTTGTTTTAGCTAATGCTGAATTTAGTTTAAATACATTGGAAACATGGATATAAATGACTTACCACTAGTTGTTTGTATGCATGTTTTTAGTTCCCTGGGAATCAAACCACTTGCCCGTGATAAGCTTCCTATTCATGGAAATCCCTGGTGGCATAGGCTGTGCATGTGTTAGCAGACGTTGATTCTGACGAGGATTAAGCACTGTCTGTGTGACCCCATTTGGAGACAACAAGCAAAACCTGCTTGCTGGTCTCCTCTAGACTCTTCCCTGTATCAGACTAGAACCCTGACCCATAGGATGTTCGTTGGCTGTTGGAAGTTAATTGCCAGGACTCTCTTCCAACGCTCTGAGCTGGCTTGAACCCTCGAGCTGTCTGTTGGCAGCAAAATATGCAGTTTGCAACACCCAGGACCTCTCTCCACAATTAGGACCTCCTATCACCTATCACTCATATAGGGCCGGAATGGGGAACAGCCAGTCTCCAGCTGAACAAAGCCTGAGAAATCATTTGGTCATGCTTTGCCAAGGCAACTGCAGGCTGGAACGGAATTTCAATTAATCGAGGAGGTTTTTCATAGCAACATAAATTTCTATTAAGTAGAAATGAGGACCTAATGCTGGGGCCTTAAGTGGAGAGAAAATGTTTTGAGAATGAGGCCAATGAATGTACAAATGTGCTTTACACAATTGATGTGTGTATGTGTTGTGATAAGAGTTGTATGATCCCCTAATAAAATGATTAAAAAAACAAAAAAAATTCTATTAAGTGAATCATATGTCCATTATAGGATCGACAGGACACATACCAGCACAGGACAGGACAGATATGTATGCTTCTCACCAGCTGCCCAAGACCTGTCTGCCTGTTTTGTGGTCACTCAGAGGACAGTCAGTGCCAGGCAAGCTGGGAGTGGACATGCTACAAGAGGGTTAGCACTCTATTACTTAACTAACAGGATCTAGTGATGAGACAAAATGGGATGAGGTAGTTCCTCCCAGTGTTGATGACCTGCGTCTGATGATTGACAACAATGTTGTTGATGTCTTTTTAAATACCTGATAACTCCAATCCAACTTTTATCCACATGTCCACCATCAACCGTCCTCAAGAAAAGTGAATCTCAGATGAAGATTAGGAGGAAATCACAGTACACAGAAGATATTTCTGAGTCCATGATAAGAATATTGGACATGTTCCAAATCCAAGATGCAGAATTAGAACAGCAATCACAGGAAAATAAGCATGTCGCTGGACCTGCTTATTAAAATGTAAGTGGTATAATAGCCTATAATTGGCAACTGCAAAGAATAGAAAAATTGACATAGAATGTCAATTGTTCTAAGAGAAACAGACAACTGATTATTGCTGTTAACGTCAAAGGCAAACCTGTGTGCCTAGTTTGTGGTGATGTGGTAGCAGTAATGGGGGGAAAAACATTCTAAACTCAATGAAGGCAAGGAGGGCCTTCATAGGGTGGGGTGGGCACTGGGCTGCGGGTCCTAACCTAGTCGTGTCTCCAAGGGCACAAGCAAGAAGGCTGTGTTGGCTACAGCGGGGTCCTCTCCTAGTGGGTGGCAGAGGGTGTGATCAAAGGGTCCTGGGGGGGCAAGCTGGCTCCTGAGGGGTGTGGAGCAACAGGCGGAGGTCAGGCAGAAAGGAACACTGAGGGGCGAACACACCCTGTGGGACAGGGGAGGGGGCGATGGAAAGGTGTGTAGGCTCTGCTCCTGTGCGTGAGCATCAGGTGGGCTGGAGGGACAGGGAGATGCTGAAGAGGATGCTCAGACCCAGTGAGGGAGCAAGAGAGCACTCTTCTGGAAGTGCCATTTCTCTGGGGTGGGCTGTGGGGCCACCGGGGCAGCCTTGGGATGAGATGTGCTCTTCAGGTGATGTCTGTCTGCTGCCAGAGCATAGGGGAGCAGCCCCCCACAAGCAGGAGACCCCTGGGACCACTCCTCAAAGCTGAGAGAGGAACCACCGGTGGGCAGGCCTTCTGTCACTTTGGGGGAGGAGCAATCACAGGTTGGAAGGGGGTCTCTAAGGGGGGGGTGTACACCCCTTCTGGGTATCCTGGACTCTTGTCAGCCCTAACCCGGACTGGACTGCATGGACTGGTTTCCAGAGATTTTTGACTGTGGGCCTCCTAACATAGTCAGAGCTGAGATGTCGTTAAAGTATCTATATATATTATTTATGCAAAGCAGGTGCAGATCTGCTCTGCAGTTTATTGTCCTACTTGCAATTCCTGTGCATACGGAGCTTGTTTTCTATGTGTTACGCCGTGGTTTATGAATTAAAAAGTACACATGCTGAAAAAAATTAAACTAACACACTAAATGACCAATCTATAGGCTACAAATTGGGTAGGAAAAATACTTAAAAGAAGACACTGAGGTAAAGGATGTGAAGGCGTTGGGCTGTGGAGCGGATGCTCCCTGGTTGGGGAGGAGCAGCTTCCTCCAGGAGCTGTGTCTGTGGCTGGGCCTCAGCTGCCCGGCAGAGCTGGAGCTGGAGGACCAGGGGCCCCCGGAGCCCCATGGCAGCTTCAGGAGCAGCGTAAATGGGTGTTCCTGACCTGCCACGGTCAGGTGTTCCAGGGCCACGTTCCAGCCTTGCAGCTGGTTTTACACTGGGTCCCAGCAGCGGATGGTCTCTGGCGCTCCAGTGATGCTGTGGGAGCACAGTCCACTCGGGTGGTGCTCCCTCCGCCAGCTCTGCAGGTGGCCCAGGAATGTGTGCAGGCTTCCAGCTGGCTCTCAGTCAGGGTTGGTGACCAGTCAGCTGGTCAAAGAAGACCGGGTGCTGGATGCGGCTCCTCTCTGCTGCGGGACCCACAGAGCCGTGAGCCAGTGCCCCAAGAGCTGCTTCTGGAGGCTGCCTGAGAAGAGGGCACAGCTGTCTCCCAGGCTGGCAGTCTTCTACAGATGATGCAGGTCACCGTGGACAACCTGGTGCTCTTGGGAGCTCCGGTGCTGGCTCCGGAGCAAGAAGGATTTTACAAAGAGGATCTCAGTTCCTTTGGCAGGGGCCACTGGGTGAAAACCCAACACAGCAGCAGCTCTCGGTCAGGTGGGATTGACCCAGCTGGCGGCTGAGGACCCAGTGTTCTAGGGAGCCCACTGCTGGTGCAGGGCCTGCAGGGACAGTAGCCAGTGGCCAAGAGCCTGTGTGTGCTGGCAGTGGCCCAACAAGAAGGCCTGCCCTTCTAGCTGGCTCCTGATTAGAGAGCGCCTGATTGAGAATCTGGGTCTCTAAGCAGGTCCAGTACCAGTGAAGCTGCTGGAGAGACAAACGCTGCTGGGCTGTCAGAGGGCCCAGAAAAGGAAAAAGAAAATGTCTGACCATCAATCAGCTCTTCATCTGATGGCTGCTAATAGAGGGTCTGGGGGCCTCTAGGCACGCAGCGTTGTCAGGAGGCCCAGAGGGGCATCATCAGACTTTAGCATCTGGCTAAAATGAGGCTCCTCTGTGACAGCATCTGCGTTTCCATCAGGGGATGGGGCAGGTGGGTGGCTAGGTGCAGCAAACTCCCCCTCTGGTGGTGTTGGAAGTGAACCTGCAGGTGGTTCTGGACCACCAGCTCCTCCCTTTCGTGGCAGGTGCCAGGCCTGGCGCTGGGGCTGAGAAGAAGAAGAGAAAAGTTCACCCCCTTGACTGCCTTCCCAATGACCAAAAACACCCCACTCATTCCCCAGATTTCCACCCCGGAAGTCTTCCCAGGTGACCCACCAGTGGAAGGTCATAGGTGAGTCTGAGCTGTGGCTCAACTGCCGCTCAGAGGGCCTCCCTGGTCTGCCAGCTGTGTCAGAGGCTGACCCATAACCACCAGGAAGGTCAGGGGCCCAGAGCGCTGTGACATGTGGGTGGACATCGGACATGAGACTCCAGCAGAAATGGAGGCTGAGCTTTCCAAGTGGAATTTGAGGTGGAGGCGATTCAAATATGACCCACTGCCACCGAGTTGATTCTGACTCCCTGCAAGGACAGAGCAGCACTGCACCTTTGGGCTTGCTGGACTGTACGTGCCTGTGGGACCAGACAGCCTCACCTTTCTCCAGAGGAGTGATAGGTGGTTCAGAACTGCTGACCTTGAGGTTAGAAGCCCAACACACGATCCACTCTGTTACAAAGGCTCCTCGATTCAAATATTAGGCACCGGAATTTATCTGTGCCTTACTAACAAATAGTCCCCCTGTAATGAGGGCAGTTTCGTGGCGAACCTTCACAAAACTCCCCATTTTACTGGTTAGAAAACAAAGGCTGGACGATGTCCAGGATTCCTGCAGGGACATGGACACAGTCAGAGACTGACACCGTCACATGATGGCTGAGACTTCGCGGGAAGGAGTCTGGCTCTGGCTTTCAGCTGTCCAGGTGCTCATCCTTTGTCCACCCCCTTCCTCTAGGAGCCAGCTGCAGGCGGGTCAGTGTGTAATGAAGGAGGCCCGAGCTCCTACAGCCTTGCTGACAGGGCAGCTGCCAGCAGTCAGGCCAGGGCCAGCAGCAGTGCAAGACTCAGTCAGTGTGAGAACCAGCCTTCCTTCTGGAACTTTCTGTAGCGGAGTCAGGACACCCCTCCTGACATGGATGGGTGACAGTGGTGGGTTCTGAGAGGTTACATGTTGCATGAAAGTGTGCATCCTGTCTGAGAGCCTCTCTGTTTGAGGATGGTGAAGCCTACGAAGCATGAGGGTAGATGGGGTTGGGAGGGCGTGTGGCAGGACAGGGCAGTCCAGCTGCCCCAGGTCTGAAGGGCCAGAGATAAACAGCAAAACAGAAGGAGGGTGTAGAGACACTGGGGCTGAGGGGAAGTGAAAACCGTATGGATGACATGTTGGGCGGGGGGAGGGGGCGTTGCTTATTTTAATTTTATTGTGGTCTGGGTAAAAGTTTACAGAGCATATTAGTTTCTCATTTGTGTTAAACAAGATTGACTAGAGAAACAAATCCAGTGACACTCATACATGTATAAGAAAGAGCTTTTTATAAAGAAGTATTTATATATCAAGGAAGCATCCCAGCCCAGTCCAACTGAAGTTCCCAAGTCCAATACTAGTGCATAAGTCCCTCATCAGACTCATGCAGTGATGCAGAGTGTAGGCATATCACAGGCCAGTGGGTGGAAAGTGGTGTTGATTCAAGGTCGGTGGACACCTGGCAGGACTTTGGCAGCTCTCAAGGTGGCCAGTCAGCAGGAAGATGAACAGGGAGAAAGGGAAGGTCCTACTACCAATGTGACAGCATCAGGAGGTAACCTGGTTGACAGGTTTGAATACCCCCTAGCCAGATGTGTCTAGTTGATATAAAATCACCTATCACATCATTCAACAATGTGTACCCATTTTTTTCATGGAAACAGTTGCAGTTTCCTCACCATAGTACCACTCTTTCCACTCTTCCCTGGATTTGCAATTTCCATTCATTCTTCTTTACTTCATTTTCCCTTCTTAACTTTTTTTTAATTGGGATTAATATTTATGTTAGTCCAAGAGAAACAAATTCACGCGTATATGTGTATGAGAAAACTTAATATCAAAGAGCCATCGTATATTAAGAAACAGCCCAGCCCAGTCCAGATCAAGTCCATACGTCCAATATTAGCCCATATGTCTGATACCAGTCTATTAATTCCTCTTTAGACTCATGCAACACATGCAATGACACTGAATGCTGGGAGATTGCAGGCCAGTGGGTGGAAAGTCTTGTGGATGCAGTGGCGGTAGAAGCAGCTCAGCCTGGCGTGGGTCTCCACATGGCTCCTCCAGCTCCAGGACTCTGGCTCATCACTATGTCTCCATGTGGCTTGTCAACAGGAATGTGACCCTGAGAGTATGTGTCCTGCCTCTAGGGAGGAAGACAGGAGATCCCAGACTCCTCAGGAAAAGGCCATGCCACACAGAGGTCTCATTGGCTATGACCTGATTGACAGGCTACACTCCACCCCTTTGTTCAAGTTGACAGAAGATTATGTAACTGCCACAGACCACCCTTGTCAACTTGACACTTTTACACAACTCTTTAACCATATATAGTTTTTAAACAAAGCAATAATAAAATCATATCTGTACCTAATAGGATAAAACTAAAATGTATACAATTTAATATGTCCCAGCTTCGTTTAAACATAATTTCCTTTAAGTGAACAAAACAAAAATATTCTATGCCTAACAATTGCAGTTACGTGAACACCTACACCTTAATCCTATGAATATATTCCCCCACCTAGGAAAGTTTGTAAGACAGCCACTTCATGCCCTTATCCTCCCAATTTGGGGTATCCAATTTCTATACTGCCCACTTACATCAACCCAGTGCTGTGAGGAGACAATCATATTCTTTGATGAGAAGAATCTTCATTCCAGTTGGCACTTTGTGAAGTCGGCATCCATAAGCAAAGTCCAATCAGGACAAGTCATCCATAAAGTCAGCAGCAATATACACTAGTTCACAGGCTCAAAAATCTTCATGTGGTCGGGTCCTGGTCAATGCAATATAGGCTGCCTCACTTAGCTTCACCAGGGTGCCCATTGGTCGCCTTGCCTTTAGACCATGGACACTGTCACAAATTCTCAACAACCCTAGCCCCCTTGTGCTAGGTCAAGAACTTCAGACCAGTCAACTCACTCTCATTTTCTCCTCTAGTCCCTGTGTTCACGGGGGTCAGTGGCCAGACTCAGCCCATCTCTTTATTGCTGTGCTTCTCTCACTTCCAGGTGGTCACCTAGCAAGCATTTTAGCCAGCCCACAGGCTCCCTTTACCAGTTCAGTCCTAGAGCAGAGAGTTCTCTCCATGGTTCCAACATTTTCCAGCCTCAAGCACAAGTCACTAGTTCAACAACAAAAAAAAGTTTCTCTTTTTCTTCAATCTGTCAACAGCCCCATAGACAAATCTCTTCACCTTTGAACGTCCTGAGCACTGAAGACACTGTGTGGGGCTTAGCTTTTTAGAGCCTTCTTTGCAGGCGTGTCCTAAACCATTTAAAGATCCACATTAATGACTGAAGGCAAGTGGGCTTATAAGCTTTCTATTTTCATATTCCCCAATAATCATTTCTATCAATCATTATATCAATAATAATAAGCAGAAGAAAATAGTATAAACCTAGTACAGTCCAATTCTAAAATCAATTCTTAAAACAGTCAAGTTCAATACTTATTTATCTTAATCCTTATCTAAACTATTCTTTTTTGTGGTTCCCCTAAGAGGGGTGCACTGTTCCTGGAAGTACTGCAATACCAGGTCGATGCGTGGAGTGGACAGAGCAAGCTCCTATTCCATCTCCCTGCTCCAAAAATCCATTTAGTATGTTGTCCTCGGATAGAGGATGTATCAGATATTAAACTGATAAGAACAAATACTACACTTGATCTCAGCCAAAAGGCCTAGAAGTGATCTAAACTATTCTATTGATGTGAAATATGGCCTTAGGCCTCTAGCTGCATTGCCTCAAGCCAGGGCCCACAAGTAGGGCCCACTCCCTGCTGTTAAGGACAATAGGCTACTTCTCCCTAAAGGCTTGCAGGCATCAGTCTGGACCCTGTAGATGAGGTTTACACCCTACTGGTAATGGTTTCTATAGTGACATCCAAAGTTAGGCTGCCATCCTGAATCTAGGATCCGCCCATCTTGTCACATGTATACCCCCAATCCCTCCTCTTCCTATTGTATATCCCTACATTGTCCTCCTTTCATTGCTGTATAACCTATAGTGCAACCCCTTCCTGTGATGTATGTCTTTACCTGTAATTAG